AGGCGACCAGTTCCATTGACTTGGCACTTCTCAACCAAGAATGCTTTACTACCCCTTCTTGATGAGGAAGGAAAACACATGAATAGGTATATTATGTTGTCCTGAAGTATATGTTTTTCAATCTTGATAGGCAGTATTATTTTATCTACATCTTTTGGGCAAATGGTTAATTTTTCTATGACCTTGTTACCCTTTTTTCTCAATCCATGCCATGATATTGTCTACTTACTGTTATTAGCGTATTTATCGCAGTATATATTTCTATGTTTGATTTGTTATATATTAGAAGATATGGTTACTGAAATGCCGTTCTTCTTATATCTAATAGTATTTCTGTCCTCTAGTAACCCATTGTGAGAAGGAGCATCCTTTTGAGAAAAACAGTTTATGTACTTCTATAAGAGACTCTGGGGTGTCTGTTTGTTTATCCAGATAGGAAACACTTACTTACAGTTTTGAGTGTAAACTTCTTATTCATAAACTCTTTATTATTCATGAACAAAATTAGTTAATAAGTTTGTCATTAATGGTTTTCATTCTAAATTACCAATGAATTTAGTAACTTTTGACGTACAATAGCTTTTCTGTCTATTAAGAACCATTTGCAAGCTTGTGAAAGCTACTGAATTTCCTCATATTCTTACTTAGGCTTGTGGATTCCTTTTCATAGTAGTTTTATTTGATATCTGTTGATGGCATTTGTTTTTCCCTCGGTGAATAACAAGTTTCTATTTTCTTCATATGGATCAGGAAGCTGTCACTCAATTATTTACAACTTTTGGCTTCAGAAGGTAAATCGTACAGGGATGATGGGTCTAGAAGAAGGAATTCCAGGAAACGCAGAGGTGACATGAGCGTCAATAATAATAGTGCCTCTGGACAACCTAAACTTTCAAAGAATGACATGAACACAATTCGTCGCTCACAGGTACAGATGGAGTCAGATGTCTGATTATCATTGATGTGTTTTATTTTTTAAATAAGGATAATTACTCATCAATTTTTTTCCTACCCTAACTTATGACCTCCACTCATAATAAAAAATTAATTTATCATTATAATTATCAGGTTCCTCAAGTTATTGATACATTATGGCACCTTCGGGCGCGGGATATGCTGCCAGCAATTTGGTTTATTTTTAACAGAAGAGGATGTGATGCAGCTGTCCAGTACCTTGAAGATTGTAATCTATTAGATGATTGTGAGATGAGTGAAGTTGAATTGGCCTTGAAGAGGTTTCGCATTTTGTATCCCGATGCTCTCAGGGAGACTGCTGTGAAAGGACTTCTAAAAGGGGTTGCAGCACATCATGCTGGCTGTCTTCCTATATGGAAATCATTTATTGAAGAGCTTTTTCAGCGAGGGCTTGTTAAAGTTGTCTTTGCTACAGAAACACTTGCTGCTGGAATCAACATGCCTGCTAGGACGGCTGTTATTTCATCTCTCAGCAAAAGGATTGCTAGTGGAAGGATCCAGTTAACCTCAAATGAACTACTTCAGATGGCAGGACGTGCTGGACGTAGAGGCATCGATGAAAGGGGTCATGTAGTGCTGGTTCAGACCCCTTTTGAAGGTGCTGAAGAGTGCTGTAAGCTATTGTTTGCTGGAGTGGAACCTCTTGTGTCACAGTTCACTGCTTCTTATGGAATGGTGCTCAATCTTCTTGCAGGTGCAAAAATTATTCGTAGATCAAATGAATCAGATAACATGAAAGCTTTACAAGCAGGCAGGACTTTGGAAGAAGCTAGGAAATTAGTTGAGCAAAGTTTCGGAAACTATGTTGGCAGCAACGTAATGCTTGCTGCAAAAGAGGAGCTTGCTAAAATACAGAAAGAGATAGAAATGCTGACTTCAGAAATTAGTGATGATGCTATAGACAGGAGAAGTAGGAGACTTTTGTCAGAGGCTGCATATAAGGAGATTGCGGATCTACAGGAAGAGTTAAAGGCAGAAAAACGCCTTCGAACTGAACTACGTAGAAGGATGGAGTTGAAGAGATTCTCTGCTCTTAAAGGTCTTTTAAGGGAATTTGAAAATGGCCACTTACCCTTTTTGTGCTTACAATACAAAGATTCTGAAGGAGTTGAACACTCGGTCCCTGCTGTATATTTGGGGAAGTTCAACTCACTTAATAGTCCAAAACTTAAGAACATGGTTTCTTCTGATAATTCTTTTGCCCTAAATGTAGTTGCAGTTCAGACAAATGGTGATGACTTTGAAATTCAAGATGTTGAACCATCTTATTATGTGGCTCTTGGTTCAGATAACTCTTGGTATTTGTTTACTGAGAAGTGGATTAAAACTGTATACAAGACAGGCTTTCCTAATGTTGCTTTAGCTCAGGGAGATGCTTTGCCACGGGAGACAATGGGGTTGCTTCTGGATGAGGGGGATATGCAGTGGGAAAAGCTTGCTGGTTCTGAATCTGGTGGTTTATGGTGCATGGAAGGATCTTTAGAGACATGGTCTTGGAGTTTAAATGTGCCAGTTTTGAATAGTCTTTCTGAAGATGATGAAGTGTTACACATGTCACAGGAGTACCATGATGCTGTTGAAAATTACAAGCAACAAAGAACCAAAGTAGCACGTTTAAAGAAAAAGATAGCACGCACAGAAGCATTTAAAGAGTACAAGAAGATCTTAGACACTGTTAAGTTTACTGAGGAAAAGATAAAACGCCTGAAGGCTAGATCAAACCGTTTGATCAATAGGATAAAGCAAATTGAACCATCTGGTTGGAAAGAGTTTTTGAGGATCAGCAATGTCATACATGAAATTAGGGCACTGGATATCAATACTCATGTAATTTTTCCATTGGGTGAAACTGCAGCTGCAATTCGAGGAGAAAATGAACTCTGGCTTGCAATGGTTCTTAGAAACAAGATTTTGCTAGATTTGAAGCCTGCACAACTTGCTGCTGTCTGTGCAAGCTTAGTCTCTGAAGGGATCAAAGTTCGTGCTTGGAAAAATAACGGCTACATATACGAACCTTCCACTACTGTTATCAATGTGATTAACTTTTTGGAGGACCAGAGAAGTTCCCTATTGCAACTGCAAGAAAAGCATGAGGTAGAGATAACTTGTTGTTTGGATAGCCAATTTACTGGCATGGTAGAAGCCTGGGCATCTGGTCTGACATGGAGGGAGATGATGATGGATTGCGCCTTGGATGATGGGGATTTGGCTCGCCTATTGAGACGATCAATTGACTTATTGGCTCAGATTCCTAAATTGCCTGATGTAGACCCACTGCTACAAAAGAATGCAATGGCTGCCTCTGGTGTAATGGATCGTCCACCAATAAGTGAGCTAGCTGGATAAAGTTTCCTTGGTGATAAAATGGTATTTGTAAACTTTAAATGTATTCTCCACATGTTGAATCTTTTCTAAAGCTGTAGCCGGGGTTGGATACACGTATTAACATCTGCCATCTCATAATTCATTTTTCAGAATCGTATAGCAGCTGAAGGAAGACCTAAATTTTTTAAGGTCATTTCCCAGTTTTTGAAAGATTGTTTACTTGGGTCATCATTGTATTTCCTAGTGTAAAGACTTAAGGTCCTTCCCCATCCCCAAATGCCTATATTTTGTCTCGGTTAATTTAATTATGCTTGGCTGCCTTGTATGGACAATTTGGGTCAAGATAAATTTTCAGGATTGAATTACTGTCGATTGCCCTTTTTTTTCGACCTTAGTTTTGGTGGTGTTCTTCCTAATTAACTAAGAGTTGTTAGGAATGATGCAGGCTTTCAGATACTAGATGGATATGTTAGTCGAGGTGCAGATCCCAATTTACTTATGGTTTTTTGAGCTTCCAAATTTATGATGCTACTCAACATGACTTAGCTGCTCAGTCCTGATATCCCTACAAAAAAGAAGAATTCGTGATCTGTTGGGATGGTGAGTTCTGTAAGCCATTCTTCTATCATGAGTGGAGCTATTTGCACTCCTTTTTAAAATGCTCACAATTTGACATGTTCTCATACACATTGCCATCTTCATGTCAAGAATTCGTTATTGGATATATAATTGTAAATTTTTGAAGCCATTTTTTGTTTTTAATAATAATAATTATTATTATTATTATTTACCGAAGTATTACAAGGGGGATATAAGTTGTACTGGGGCTCTGACGAAGCAGTGCATGTCTCCGTTCAAGACAACTGTATCAAAAGATTGGAGGGTTAATCACTTAATTGGTTGTGGTGGTTATTTTAGTAATCTCAACGTAAGAAAACGTTATCTATGCATATGCTTCACTATGCTATGATGTTCAAGGTCAAACCTTGATCTTTCCCTATAACACCTTCGTTGGTAACTGCTTAAGATTTTGAGTTCAAAATTCTATACTATTTCTAAATACAAGAGCTTGTTTACCCAGGCTGGAAAATCGCATGAAATTCATATCCATCTATGAAGTCCACCAAATAATTGTTCGTGCTAGAAATTATCTTTCAACATTTGTACATGCGAATCCGTCTTGTTTCCATTGGTAGAAATCCCAAAATGATAAAGCGCATTAAAAACCACTGTTGAAGACCAAATTCCTACCATGCGCTTAACCTGTTAAATGTAATGCGAATACTTATTGCAGTGTCTAACATCCTGACCACCACATAAATGATATCCGAATTCCAAGGCAAAGATTGGTGCCGTTTATGATTTAACCTTGTATACTGGGCCACCTAATCAATTAGTTTTGAATTCTAGATGGTAGAATAATGGGATGATGAGTCAGACATGATTATCGACATTCCTGTTAAATAACTGCAAAAATAATCAAGGGAATTAAAATCAACTCAATGCGATTACAGCTAATAGTTGTTATCACGTCATAGCAATTGAACAGGAAAAGTTATTATTTCGCGGCAGTTGCATATACAAAATCAGCGGCAGAGTCGATGACAGAAAGGAGATATTTTAAGGCAGGAAGAGCAGTTGATATGGGCAATGAAGAGCAAAACAAGTTGAACAATTGCAATAAATGGCAGGGCCTAAGCGAGAAACATTAGAAGAGAAATAAAAAATATAGATGAATGGAATGGACATATATCTCAGGTTTTACATCACATATTACCTCTCTATATACATGATGATGGCTCAAAATGCCACAAACTTGCATTATACTACAATCCTCCGAGCCATATCCCCCTTCCTCAGATTCTTTATTGAGTTGGTGAGACAGAAATATCAGAGTACATGAAAGATGAATCCTGCAAAAGCTTTTCCACTCGCGGCGCTGTTGACCTTTCCAATTCCAGCACCAGTGTATATAATGTGTGGTCAAGACATTTGAAGTACAAGAATATCTGAAATACAAGTTATCGAAAATATATTATCATCTTCTTCCAATTATCATCAGGTATTGGATGTAGGGGAACATATTCGGGATACCAGATACAGCAATTAAAAAAAAAAAGTACGTACCATATCTACTACAGGGTCACAACAAAGCATATTACGATCCAGAAAGCCATCTTTGAAACCGTTGTAGTCTTCTAATTGGATAACCATTTGAAGCCTTTGCCTGGTTGTGGCATGGGCTGTTCTGAGGGAAACTTCTACTTTTCCTTCTTGTTCGAAACAAGAAATCTTCGGTATCCAAAACATATGAGACCTACCAGGCACAAATTTCCAATTTATTAGCACAATGATATATCTACTTCAATCTCTCCTATAATTTAACAGTTTATAGTTAAAAAAAAAATTAAAATAATTGATATACAAACTGACACATACAACCGAACTCAACAAGGCCACCAAACCAGTTAGAGTTGGCTTAAAAAGATTTACAAAATAAAATACCTTGGATGAATTGCAAGTTATCTTGCACTCCAAACCGTTAGCAATTTGAAGTCCTTCCATGGCCTGGCATGTAGCAGAAAATTCATCATCACCTGCAAGTTTGCGTTTATTCCTGCAGAATAGCAAAAATTAATAGCCATTACGGGTATATGAAAGTAAAAAAGTTTGACTTTTTCCATTTTCACATACCTCTTCAAGAATATCCCAGACTTCTCTTTTTTCTCAGGAATTGATAGGAAGTCATTGTGAAGGTATGCTGCAAAATTGGGATCCATGGAAACAGCTGTCACTTCAGGCTTATCATGTCCATTGTCCATAAGCTGAATAGAGAGATGGGTTGGTGTGGATGACTGCAGCAAAAAATAAAATTATATATATTTAATATTTTCCAATTTAAAATCATAAACAGTCCTCGAAGGAAAAGAATTGGAAGAAAGTAGTAAAAAGCATACACATTCAATACGATATATGTTCTCATCATGCAGAAGTACACGTGCATTTTCATGATAAACTATATCAACAAATCTTCCAGGTTTTCTTGATTTCTCATATGCATACAGTTGAAGAAGCTTGTTATCCATCTCATCAGTTGCTACTGCTTGGAGCTAATAAAAATACAACTACAATTAGTATTTAGAGCAGTGCAAAAGCAAAGGGAAAAAAATTCAATAAACTAAAAGAAATAAACCTAAGCATCTTACATGTTTGACAAGTTTATATAGCAACTTGTCCAATGTGAACAAAACATAAGACTGAGTACCAATAATAGCTCGGCAATCATCCTCGAATTTTGTATTGTCAGAAGAACCATCCAGTAAACTATAAAGTGCACTCATGAACCTGCATCAGATCTCCAATTAACATACACTTATAAATAAAAAACGGCTGAAATACTCAAAATCCTGTAAAGATAAACAACCTGGCATAAAGATCAGTAGGACTAGTATCATTAGACGTCCTCCATTTCCTCTCTGCGGATGATGATGAATTAATCTTTGCTGATTGTATTCTCTCATACAATGTCTGCCAATGAAATAGGGAATATGAAGTCAATGAATGTAACAAAGAATTTAATCCAGTAAGGTCAATTGAATATATACTAAATTCTCACATAACANACCTGGCATAAAGATCAGTAGGACTAGTATCATTAGACGTCCTCCATTTCCTCTCTGCGGATGATGATGAATTAATCTTTGCTGATTGTATTCTCTCGTACAATGTCTGCCAATGAAATAGGGAATATGAAGTCAATGAATGTAACAAAGAATTTAATCCAGAAAGGTCAATTGAATATATACTAAATTCTCACATAACAAAAAAAACAAAAAAACAAAAAGGCCTTACTTGGTGAAGCCTAAATAGCACATAGAAGGAATCGTTTCCATAGAAAACCCTAGAGTCCTTTTCTTTGTCACGTAAAGATGGGGCAACATGCTTTGCTAGAGGCTTCACGGTCAGTAGAAAACGTTCTGAATATGGTAATAATGTCCCATCTCCTTCAACATCATGAGCATCAGCCATCCCTTCAGCTTCACCTTCACTTTCTGCCTTGTTATCATGCTCATCATGGTCTCCATCTTCCTCGTGCTCTTCCCGAGAACAATCCTCGGCATCACCAGACTCACTTCCAGACACATCACCATTCTCAGAGGCATTTTCAGTGTCCTCTGAAGACCTCTGAGCACTGTCCTCGCCTTCATCATCAGCATCAGCTTCATTTTCACCCCCAACCTCCCCACAACATATTTCTTCTTCTCCGTGTCTGGTTTGATATTGCCTGCTGACAGTAACATCCTTTGCTTTAGGTGCAGCCTCCAGACCAGCTTCTCCATAAGCAGCAAAATTATCCTCCTCAAAATCTCCATTAGGAGATAATTCACCCTCTTCTCTTTCAATTTTAAATTGCATAGCAGATTCAGCATTATATCTCTGAGTATTTGCACCTTCTGTCAGCACCCCATTTGTGGTTATCATCTGCCTTGAAGAATCCCCAGCCTGCAACATCCATAATGAAATGGAATCATCTTCCAGTGTTAGATCACTACAAAACAATAATAAAAACAACACAGAACCGAGTTTTTAATTGATTATGAATTTTTTATTTAAAATATAACCCATGGCAAGCCTCGATGTCCAATCATTGGACAAACTGCACATATATGTGCGAGAACTTAAAAATATATATCATAACTTGTATAAGCTACTTCCTAAGCATACCTAAAGTTCTATCAAACTAAATAATTCCAAACTTCAAAGATTTAATAGCCTATTAACAGGAGGACAAGAACCATCGAGAAGTATGAGAATAACAGCGGTTTAACTGTTTGAACAACAAAGTATGCAAATGATAAGAAGATGTCATCTCAAATGATTCCATAAACGTTTCAGTCAAAAAGCTATTTATCTATCACCAGGACCATAATATTTGTTTGCAAATTGCCATTATATAGCCATCAAAAGCAACTTTGCTTTGGGATCAGATAGAAAGTCAACCATGAACTCAATTATCAGCTCCTTCACATTCCACATATAAGGTATCAAACAGTGAGATTATATACAGTACAATCCTGATTGTCATGACATACAGAAAAAATGCCCTTAACTTGAAAGTTAATAAATATAAATAGAGATAGCATTGAAGCTGTACCTCTGATGAAGGTAAAATTTCATTACTTGACCTTAACTCAAGTCCACCCTCAACAGTGAGATTACCAGGTCTAGAGTGGGTTGTACTAAGCCCTTGAAAAAAAAAAATCTCAGCAGTCAAGACATCATTATAAAAAATAATTAAAAAAAAAAAAAAAAAAAATCTCAGCAGTCAAGACATCATTATAAAAAATAATTAAAATTCAAAGAAAATTTAGCAGTAAACTTCATGAGAGAAATATAAGGAAACAAGAAACCAAGTTATATTGAGTTGGAAGCAATTCACAAACCTGATGTATTCTCTATGTTAGTCCTTCCATTACTTTGATCTGCCCCAGTAGCAAGTGATGCATTTGTATTGATCAACCGATCATTGGTACTAGCTTGTTTGCTGATCCCAGATGTTTCATCAGCCATAGCTGCATTGTTCTGCACTTTATCTTGCTCAGAACTATCACAGAAATTGTCACTCTTACGAGCAATATGATCAGCTTCTGAACCATCTTCTTTGACCCCATGATCCCCATTAGGCAACCAAGCCCTAGAAGAACTTGATTGTTCGGGTGGAATACTCTCATCTCCATTTCTGGAAGGATTCACATGTTTGGAATTGGTGACAGTAACAGGACCATCAGGACTGCCATCACTATCACCAACACAAGCAGTACGACTTTTGACAGAATGATTCTTGGCCTTTACAACATCTTCAGTGTCCTCTGCACCCTGAGGCCGAGGAGGAACACCAAGTATAGGTTCCAAGAAGGTTGTCCAGATCTTCATTACTTTGTCCAACTGTTCAATTGAACACATTTCTCCGCATGAATATTTAATGAGCTGATATAAATCTTCATGAATGTCAGGATCTGGATACTCAAATTCCAAATGTGGAACAATAGACCGCCTATTTCCAGCAGCAATTGCAAGGAGCGTGTCATCTTCCTTACGCTTCTTCTCACTGATTTCTTTTATCTCTGCCAACAAGGCTGTAAAAAAAATACAAAACAACAATTAGAACTTAACTTAGAGTGCAAAGGATGTTCAATGAAACTGGTTGAATCTAATAACATTATCTTGTTCCTTTTCATTCTTTTACTTTATGCAAAAGTCCCTCAACCATCCCATCATGTTCACTGAGTTCTACACTGAGAATACTTCCAAACCCTACAGTTTTGTAGCAAAGTAACTTGTGGGATATAATAACCCATGTAGGTTGCCCATCAAAGGGATTTGAACCCTTTACCTCAGTTGTAACCAAGGGCATTACTACTAAGACCAATGTTTGGAGTTCCTTCACATAATCAAACAAATAACTATGGTGTGCATGTTTAAGATATTTGTAATAGTAAATATCTCTGAAACATTCAAAGTAAACAGAACAATTACAGGACAGAAAAACCACATTCAGGGAATTCCCATTTAACCAGGGTGAGACAAGTAACATTTATAGTTAATTCCCCACCAAGATTTGGGAAGTACAACTCCAAAGGGAGACTATCAATTTTAGGTGCATTTTCAAGATCCAAATTTGCTTTATGTGGTAGCTTCAAAGATGTTCTCCTATGTACTAGCATTTGGTACTTTATGTAAACTAACTAAGACTAAAATTAATGCATCAAGATTGTAAATTTGTCATGCAGACCAAGACCCCATAACCATTTTATATTCTACCAGTGCAAAAGAATCAGGGTCTGTATTCTACCCATACAAAAGAATCCAGGTGTGTATTTTATCAATACAAAAGAATCATGGTGTATTCTACCAGGACAGAAGGAATCATGGTGTGTATTCTACCAGTACACCAGATGTCAAGTATTAAATTACCTTTTGCACCCAAGCTCTTTGAGTCCTGTTGCTTGAAATAGAAGCTACGATGATCAAGAGATTTATGATAGTTCTTGGCATAGATTTCAGCCCAAACTTTATTAAAATCAGAACGACACCTCGCCCACTCTTCTTGTTTTTGCTTCAATCGTGTCAATATAACTGGCAAAGCAAGAGAGGCATTCTTTCGTAATACATCCATCACATCAAGTCCATGGTCACCATACAATCGTTCAATGCACCTCAGATTCAAAGCTGCATTAACAGACCAAAGGGAATAATCTCATAAGATAAAGGAAGGAATTCAACAAATGAGCTCACAAAACATAACGCATAGACAGATTTTAACCCGTCATCAGTAAATTTAGTACCTGTGAAGTGTTCTTCTATACGAATAGGGCCATCTGTTTTGATTGTGTTATTATTAATCTTTTCCAACAATTCTTCTACACGTTTGGTAGTTACATTCACAGATTCTAGCAACATGTCCAATTCAAACCTGTCAACATTGTTCCAAAACATAGTCACTTGCCAAAGCCAATATAATCAGAATATTGAAAATTAATTCAGAAAATGGATAACACCATGAAAGAAGGTAAGAAAACGAGTGTTTGGAGGGGGGAAAACTTTGCATATGTTTATTTACTCTTGAATCTGGAAAAAATACTGCGACATAAATTTTAAGTTCCTTACAAACCAGGCATCAAATGAAAATGAGCGACAAAAATTAACAGATTAAACTAAAGCCTATTATTGATGAATAAACATGTTTTGGGGACAAAAAGCAGTATTACTAGGTATCATTCGTAAATTTACTCAAGAGAGCACAGGGAAGGAAACAAATAAACATTACAATTTCAGGCAAGCTCCAACCTGTCATCTTCGCATCGAAACAGGCTTTCTTCATACTGGTTTTTGCGCATGTGTTTGAAAGAGTAATCTTCACTTCCTGAAGTTACAGAAACCCAATGATCATTCAGTACTTCAGCACCAAGATCTGTTCTCTGGCTCGCAGAAGGTATTGGATACTGCATGATAAAAGTACACAAAGATGCAAAAAATTAGCAGGAGTGTCAGTGTCTCCTTTACTTTCTCTTACTGTTCCCTTTCTGGGCTACGGAAATCCCAGGGTCTCCTTTAAAAACAACAAAAATTAATAACAAATTAAACCAAAACAGAAAAAATCATACATTTTTTGGAAGAAGTCGATAACTGGGAGTGCAGCGCTCACAGTTTGAGAGGTCAAGTTCTTGAATAGGTTTTGCCATATACTTATCCTTGCTGGAATACAAAGACATCTTCTGACCTATGACATCTTTAACTACAAAGGCCACATTTTTATCAAGTCTGTCTCTTTCCCTATTTTCACGGTCCCTATCTTTAACCACATCATCCCTTTCACGATCTCGATCTCTATCCCTGTCCTCTACCTTAACAGATCTGGGTAAATATCCTTCATTCCACAAGGATTCTGCAATGAATGAAGATCAAAAATTAATAATACATACTAAGCATCAAGTTGCACCCCCCAATGCAATTGATAGGAACCCACTCCAATAACTCAACAATGTGGGCTGGGCCATGGGTCTTTCATAGGCTTGGGTAGAACTCTCCTTGGAAAACCGGCTTACCAAGGGAGGGTGCCCAAGCGTTTATAACCCACATGCCCACCCTTTTCCCTTTCAATGTGGGATCCTAACAGCAACTCAGTCAAATTAGCTTATTGGGTAAAGCAAAATGCCTAATAAAACCCATGGTGATTACAAATTACAGAACAACTTCTGAATCTAGCACCATCCATACGTAATGCATATAAATTACAGGTATCCCATCAAGCAATGAGCCCAAAAGTTTAATAAATTGAACCAACCTAGCTAAAACTAAAGTCAGTTAGGTTCATTACTAGAGTTCATACAAACAATGTCGCCATGCAAAGATTTAACATTAGAAATGTATCATCTTGATCCAGCATTTTACATGAATTCTACTTGAGTGGCAAACCAGCCAAGGGAAACTTCTATGATGAAGAAAATATGAACTATTATAAGAAGAAAAGAAACAAATAATTTTACTTACTTTTACTCATAACATCAGCAAGAAATCCCTCTGAAGAAAAAGACTTGATTAGATAAGATGCTGATAATGCAACATGTACAGTAGATAATTTAAGGCATTTCTTTTAAATGGTTACCATTTTTCTCGCAACGAGCCAAAAATCCATGGAACCCCTCTATAAGATCTGGATACTTTCCAAGCAAATCACCGACCTGATACATGAAAAAGTTTCACAATCACTAATTTTTTGCTAGCAAAAGACTCAATGGATGCATCAGGTAGAAACTATTAATATTAAAAGTTAAAAAGTCAGGTTTGTGACAATTCCATAAAATACGTATGCTTTCTGAGAGAGAAGATAAATCACAGAAAGAAAATTTCAATTCTTAAAACTAATCTTAGAAAAGGATATTTTACTGTCCAAATAAAATGAATTTTCAAAATATGACAAGTCAAAGATTATCATGGATCAACTACGCGCTCTTGTGAACTAGCTTAAGAATAAGAAAGAGTATTCTCTCTATATTGCTGAAGATTTAAAAGAAAAAAAAAAAAATTAGAGGTCAAGCTGATACAGGATTGTCAGAGTCAAACCAGAGAAGGCTATAAATAATGCCAGTCCTGTCAAACAAGTTAGAAAGTATTACTTGACCACCATCCAGAAACAAACAGGAAACCGTTTTTCTTTTTCTGGTTAAAATCAATAGTTGGGGTGATATTTGGCCAACTTAAACAGTTGTCAATGATTTTTATGCAAGGATTAAGACATCATCTGCTGCATTGACAATGCTGTGCTTGCATCAAAAATATAAAGAGCCTTAATATTTATTTGCAGTTATTTGTTAATCCACTTTAAACTAATCTATAAATAGATTAATCCAGTGGTGCACAGCAAATTCTTCAACAGCGCTTGTGAACAACCTATGACACTAGCTATCTTTATTTCTCCAATATATTCTAGATAGAATCAAATATAATAATCAGAGATGATTAAGAAAAGCTAAATTATGATAACTTAATATATTAATCAGCCATACCAAAGATTGCAATTCTGGTCGAGTTATTATTTCCTTGGTGTAGAGATGAAGGCACCTCAAAAATTCCTGGTAATCCTCAGGATTACGTAACTTCTCCTTTACTTTCTCACAGAATGCCAGCTCCTCGCTGTATACACCTGCATAAAAAACGAACTAAGTTATAGAAAGCTAAAATTCTTGCATAAAAGAATCAGCACTTACAGGTATGCACATACATAAGAATGAAACATCTTGTAAAGCGGCACTCCAATAGTTAAAACAGTAGTGCTTCAAATGCTCAACAAATGTGATACTGAAACTATATTCTACTGATAATAAAATGACCTAAATGCAGGGCATATGCTTCTTTTCTCTCTCTCTCTTCTTAAATGGAGTTTCTGCTTATGTAGTACACAAGTATCCAAAGAGAAACTAGTAAATAGGTATCAACTCTCAGTCACATATAATGCTAGGATAAAACTATTCCTCTTTCATTTCTTTTTCAGTTCTTGTGTCTTATCTGAAGCAGACAAAAAATTCAAGAAGTGTAAAGCTTTTATCAATAGATAAAGGCGATCAGTTGATAGATTTTAAATTAATAGTTATGTGGGTAAAACAACAAATTCTATAATTAATAACTCACTTTTCATGGAATTTTTATCATCATAAGAGGATGAAACAGGATGCATTCCAAAGTTTTCATCATCTTCCCCACCTTGATGCAATTGTTCAGCAGTTGAGTCTTCAATCCTACGAGCCTTCCGTTTCTGGGCAAGGCGTTGCATGTTGAAGTCCCTATTGCCATCATTCTCAAAGTCTCTATCATCCCGCTCCCGCTCTCTTCTATCTCTGTCTTCTCTCCTCTCCCTTTCTTTTTCCCCACGCCTCCTTTGATCTTTGTCAGATTTCATCAGCATCCTATCATGGTCTGGATCAGGTCGGTCAACACTAAGGTCACGGTCAGCATGTGAAGCTGTAGTCCTCTCTTTCTGACAAAAGAGCCCATAAACCATATATTAGCTTAAGGTTAACACAAAATGAAATAATGACATAGATGAGAAAAAAATACCTTGTCAACCTGCATTTGCCGCATTGTGGGCATTGCAGAGCTCCTATCACGAAGCAGAGAAGTCCTTCCAGAAGGGACATATTGAGTTGATGCTGATGCTGAAGAATCAGGTAGAAAATGAGTAAACTCAACAAGCAGATCAGGATGGTCTTGGAAAAGTGAAGCAACCTACAAGATAATATAATTTAATAATCAGAAGCATTAAGGCAAAATCTTAATGTGAGCACATGAAACCAGATAAACAAATAAAGGAAAAAGTTGTGGAACACCAAACATATGGTACAGACAAATAAATTCAAAAAACATACCTCCTGGTAGACTTCAGTTATCGACTTGTTTTCCTTTCTGTACATGTTCAAAATGTCTAAAAATGATTTATAAACATGATCATCACCTTGAAATCTTGTCTGCAGGAATACAATTTATCAGACTCTAACCTTCATAATAAAACTACTACCTCAAGTCTAGCCATGTCATAATACTTTTACCTTAATCTTGTTTACAAAATTAATAGCCTCTTCAAATTCGACTGGCTTCTTTTGTGGAGGTTGCTCATCCTCAAGTGGGAGGGTGATCTCATATCCCTTTGGCAAGAAGGTATTGAATCCTAAAATTAATTCTCGATGCCCTTTAAATAGGTCCTTTACCCTTGCTATGACACCTGCTGTGTCAATTCTACAATCAAGATAACATAAGCACCAATCAAGATAACATATTTCCACAAACATTACCCTGATAAAAGAACCCACAATGATGTTACATCACCAAACCTTTGAGCTTTGAAGTCTTTCATAACTTCAAGGAAGTCATCATATTTTTCCCTTTTGTCCTGAAATATGTCCTTAACAGCCTTGAGATATGCTAGAGCATCGTTTGTTGTTAGCTTCTGTGTAGCTCCTCCTCCTGCTGCTCCTCCTCCCATCACTTGGGGTTGCCCAGAGCTTCATTCCCAAAAACATATATTAAAAAATTATAAAATGCAATATTCTGAAAACACTAGCTGTAGATCAATACTCAGATCATATTTTTCACACATAACTAGAACTTCATCTAAAATCACTTCCTTGCATCAAAGAAAGAGTATCAGTACTTTCCTGAAATTCAAGTACACTTCCACTAGATCAATATCAGATTATAGTTTTCCAAATAAAATGAAAACAATATCTCAAATTAGTGAAGTATATTCTGCATAAACGACGTACTAGTAATGTTCCAAACACATAATAATAATTGCTACTTTCGGTTTCTCATTCTACACCTCTAATAGAATCAAGGTCACGAAGTCATTCACAAGAGAATCTAAACAAAGAAAAACCTGATCTTTCTTAGCAAGTCAAAAAAATAAAAAAATTCAAGGCATAACCATCAACAAAGTATGTTAACCAACAAGCAGTCGTCAAATTAACACAAAAACCAAGGAAAAATCAACAGAAAGTAAGTATTATTTTAATTAAAGAACTTAATCTCATTATAACAAAACAAACTTCAATAATAAAAAATTAAAAATTAAAAACAACAAAAATAAATAAATAAACTTACGCTTCTCCTCTCGAAGAAATCATGGGCCGTTTAAGTTGAGAGTTCATGTAAACATCGTCTCTGGACCTCTTCATCTTGTAAAAACAAACACAAAATCTCTCTACACCTCTCTTCAACAACAAATCATGCTTTTAACTTCAATTAACCTCAAAAATCCTGCAATCAAAAACTTAGTCATTGAAACAAAACCTCTCAAAACAACATCGCAGATCTAACAAACGACAAAACGCAGAATTTTATCCTAACCTCTGAACAGATCACCGAAATCACAAGTAATTAGCATTACTTGAAGATAAAGCAACGTTCAGAAAATAAATTAGCAGACCGAAACGAAAATATCAGGGAAAGCGAAAATTACAATGAAGATAAAAAGATCTTTACATCTCCGAATTTGCAACACCAAATAAAATCAAAAAGTCTTCACGACCAAGCATCCTCTATCATGAGTAAATTAAAGAAGAACAAAAGCTTTCTATTTTTTTTTTCAATTTTGGAGGATTTTGTGAATTTTTAACAATGTTTTAAGAGAGGGAATATGATAATTAAAACAGAGGATACACATACACAACACAATGTTAAGAGAAAAGGGAGAGAAGTGAGTTTTACAATGGGATATAATAAGAAAAACGAACGTGTAGGGTGTGGAGATAGTAAATTTTACAGCCGGCAACCGGTTTATTTCTTGGGTTACCGGTTATAGGAGGTTGATTTAGTCCTATGTGTAAAAATTAGGGTTTGGTTGGTGTAGCTTATTCCAGATTTGGGAGCGTCCCGAGCACGGCCGAGTAACAAAAGTAGTGGTGTTTTTGACAATTAATAAAAATTGAGGGTCATATTGGGGATAGTGTTATGTTATTGAAATTGCGTCTTTTAATAGTGTTCGCGTTTGGATTTGTAGAAAATAATATTCAGTTATGAGTTACTTTAGTTTTGATTAGGGTTTGGTTTGGGCGAGTTTAGAGATTTTAGGCTTTTACGGGTTGATCTTGTGAGGGTTAATTTGGTATGAAAGTGTGAGGTGGCTGTTTTTAATTGGTCTATATCTTTTTTATCAGATTGGTGATGATAAAATTAAAATTAGGTGCGTCTTAATAAGGCATAATAGTAATTCATCAACTAAATTGAATATTAAACCATTTGATTAGCTTAATTACACCCAACTGGCACATAGGAAGGCACAACAGGGCATAAAGCAAATAGTGCACAAATCCGGCCGTTATCGGATGTGTAAAGTAAACTAAGGCCCAATGGGCCAGTTGTGGAAAGCTTGAATCATGGTTTTTGGGCCAGTCCAGAAGCGCGTATGCTCCCAATGTTTTAGCCCATTGGGTGTCATCACTCAAGGATTCAAAATTAAGCTCGCGCAGTTTAAGGAAAGAACGCAAATGCATACATGAAGATCGGGCAATTTGTTCATATAGACTTGTGAGATAACAGTAGATGAATTGATACTTCAATTTCAGTGGTTAAAAAGTGTATCATGCTTTGTGTTTGTCGGTATCCGGCTGTTGTGTTGGACCAGGTCTAAACTGTAAGGAATGTTAAAAGATAAATAAGTTTTCGGAATTGGATGGTTTCTCAAATAAATATTCTAAAGCATTAAAACCCATTACGTAATCAAAATCAATGTTCCGCAATCAAACCAGTAGTGATCCGAAGATAAATTTAATCTTAAAATAAGATAATAATAAAATAAATCGAAGATAATTCTTAAATGAGATAAAATTATATCATAAAGATGGGTTTTATCTTCCAAAATAATCTCACCGTATTCGCATGCATTTTCCAAATAAGACTTGACCAGTCTTTAATTACACAAATAACAACAGGAAGGTGCTTTCCGAAAAAGTCAAAACAAAGTCAATAAAGGGAATTTGGCCTTGGTTAATACATTCATTGCACAGGTGAAACTTATCCTTTAGACCAAATGACTCATCTAACCTCCATTTGATGACTCTGATCAGTTTCTTCCTTGGAAGGAATGATAGATAATGTACTTGTAAAAGGACTCTAATGCTCAAATCAGTATTTTATCAAACCAGAGTATGAAATATAGATATAAGTAAAAATTATCTGAAAAATAGTTGACACTGAGATATTCAATGTTCTTTCATTCATGGATTTCACAAAATATATTTATGGGTTTTCGTTTTCTATGGTTTATTGTTTTAAGCGAATAATTCACTCACTAGATCAAATGACGAGAAAGTGATATTTCTAGGTTATGTTTTGTCATGTCCTTGTCGCATTTTTATGAATGTGGATCTTGGTGGTTCAATTGGAAATTACAACTTTAATAGCGCATACCCATTTTCCAATTCCTATGAAGCAATTTTAGTCCCGATTATACGATAGAAGATTGAATAATACTACACCAACAATCCTCTCTCACAAACCTGACATGATAGCTGTAATTGTCAGTTTACAACAGATCTCACATGGGTCCTGCATGAGTCTTACTAATTAATTACGAGCTATTACGTCTTTGTGAGAAAGAGTTGTTGATGTAGAATTACTATAAAGGATCAGTCCCCCCCGATCTTGGCTTAACTCTTAACCTCTTACTGTTTGGTAACTTGTCCACTCAGTACGGCCCAAATTGATCTTCACTATGGGCTAAACCGTGGGCCCTTAAACGGCTCTGCTGCCTGGCATGCAAGCCCAATTCGTTGGTGAGGCGAGTTTGGGAAGTTTTAAACTGGGTCTTCTAGGATTGTGCTATCTTTTGGACTCTAGGGATGGTGGCACTATTTTATGTATTGACAATATTTATAGGAATTGAATTTAGTATTTATACACTTATACATTTGGAAAATAATAAAACCAAAAAAAAAGAAAGGACTTATTAATATAATAGAAAATACTTATATGAAACTTACGGGAAATTTACTTAGTTCACCCTTTTTAACAAGTCAAATTAAAGAATAAGCAATTTCGAAAATGGCTTTGTAAACAAGACTTTTTATAAAAGAATTGGACATTTTTATCTTTGTCATTCATGCTTAATTACATAAAATACCATTAATTCCATAAAAATGAAAAAAAAAAAAAACTCTTGATTTAAAATAGAAATGTATAATATTATGGTTTTTGGATTGGTTTTTTTCAAGAATTTAATGTTAAAAGATGCATGAAATGTCAAAAATATGTTTGTTAATTCGAATTGGGTTGAAAAATCACTTTTCTGGATAACTGAAGAACAAACCCAAAAACTTTGAATAAACTGAATCGCTTGAGACCAATCACTCGAGCGGGGTATTATGATATTAACCTCATTCGAGTGGACATTTTTGAGATTTTATAGGGGTCATATTGATAGTTTTTATATAATCCATTTAAAAAAAAAAAAAAAAAAAAAACCCCTAAATATAAAAAGTCGAGTACAACATAGTAAATATTATTATACCCTCACTCGAGCAAACTTAAGTTTATTCAAATTTTCAGAAAATTTTTCTTTCAATTCAAGTATTAGAAAGTAAATTTTTCTTTTTGTTTCCCCTAAATATGTAATGTTTCACTTATATTAAACACATATGAACATAATATACGCTCCCTAAATATATAAAAACAATACCAACAACGAAAATCTAAAAACATAAGGTAGAAGAAAGCATGGTTATTAGTGTTCTACGATACATGATACGTATTCTATGATACGATTTGATACACGTTATCAAAGTCAACAATTTGTATCAAAGAGTGTATTATAAACCTTTCGATACGTTAATATGTATCCTACAATATGATACGTATTTATTAGTATCCTTAAAAACATTGATACAACTTTATTATTTTGGGCCAAAGGCCAACCCGAACAAATTTTGGGTCAGATCCATGTCACCCAACCCAGTTCACTAAAACCCACCTAAATTTACCCATTTTACATGGAGAAAGTAAAGAGGAATATGTGTTGCCCATTTTGCATGATAATAATAACACAAATGGAGATATAAATATTAACATTGATCTTGAAAATGATATGAATGGTTGAGAGGAAATGATATAGATTCTTAATTTTGATTATGTAATACCATAATTTAAAGCCAATAATATCGCAAAATTCGTTAATTAATCTTGAGGATGATATTAATTTTTAGAAAAAATTTATCATTTTATTTATTATTTTTTTTAAAAAAGCATATCCTACAATACGATATGCGATACACAATTCGAAAAATTAAGTTTTTGATACACAATACGATATGCAATTTGATAATCATGGAAGAAAGAAGAAAAAAGCAGAAAGAAATAATGGAAGTGAATTAGGGTTCGCTTGAGAGTTTCATGGTAGCGGTTATGAGGATAAATCACTGTAGCGGTTTTGAATGGTTTTTAGTAAGGGTTTTAAAACACTCAATCTGTGCTTGAGAGTTTATTTTCCAGTGGTTCTAACAGTTTTTTAAAATGATAAATTTACAGATATGCCCATAAAAATATCTCAACTTCAACCAGTACTTAAGAGTTTTATTTTTTCAATTACAAGGTAATGATTCTTTATTTGTTTTCTACTTATTAGTATTTTATAACTTCAAATGTGATGAAGTCTCCTTATCTTTCTTTGTCATTATTAATCTGTAATGATTGAAAAATTGTAGCTCCACTTCTCCAAGAAAGCATTTAGAAATGAGATTTTAATAATTTCTTTTATAATTGCTTAAAATTATTTTATATTTAATATGGTTGGAGATGTGCATAATATGGTTAATTTTTTTTTTTTTTTTTTTTTGATATAATTGAGATAGTTTTGTAGTGGATAGGGTATTTGTGGAATAAAATTTTAAAACCAACTAAAATATCTCGATTTGAGGCGTTTTATAAACCCCTAAAAAATACACTACACTGGTTCTGGGGGGTTTTTTAGCCAATCAAAATCAGTGCATAAAAAATATGGCAAGTATCTTACAAACAAAGAAGAGAAAAAAAAATAACGGCTCCGTTTGGTTCACAATTTTGTGTTTTTAGGAAAAGTCTTTTGAAAAAAGTTGAATAATATTGAGAGTAGTATTCCCAAAAACTAGGGCTCCGTTTGGTTCACAATTTTGTATTTTTGGGAAAAGTTTTTTGAAAAAAGTTGAATTGGGTGGGTATTACGATGTAGGATTTACAAATTGATAAAATACCTCCTATGTTTGTTTTTTTACAAAACACCCCTTATAATAAAACATTAAAAGTTAACAAAAACACCCCCAATCCACCCTCAAATACGGATAGCCGGCCACCACCACCGGAGGGTGACCGGAGTCGCCGTAACAAAAACATTAAAAATATTTAGAGGTATTTAGTTGAATTAACAAATTTAGGGGGTTTAAAAAATATTGAATAAAGTTGAATAATATTGTGAGTTTTTGGGCATTTTACTGTTTAACTTTTTTGGGAATACTAAAAATAGTATTCCCAAAATCTAACCAAACGAAGCCTAGAGTTTTTAGGTATTTTACTGTTTAACTTTTTTGATAATATTAAAAGTAGTATTCCAAAAATACAACCAAATGAAGCCAACGTTTCTGCTGAAACAAGTAAAAAATGATAGACTTTTACTTAATAAAAACTAAAGGACAAAAGTAGATAGGAGAAA